GATTCCTCTAAATATTGTTAATCTCCTCTTAGCTTTAGTTGAATTGAACTAGTAGAAGTTACTCAAGACCAAACCAATTTCAACTTCATTTAGCTTATTTAAACGGTAGTAATCGGTGGTTGATTTAACGCCTCTCTTGGGTTCGACCCTTTCTTACCCTTGCTATTAGTTAGTGAGACCAAGATAAGAATTATCTTTGGTAGGCTTGACGACAGCCTATCAAGTCTTCTGAGGCAAGGTCTGAACAGGGACTTGCATACCCCCCCCCAAGGTCACTGCCATTCTGGAGAAGAACACCGCAAAAGCCAGATATCACAGAGTGGATGCGTATAACCGCCGATTGCATATTTACCAAGTTACAACAGAAAGGGGAGAACGACTTTGTAGTAAAGGAGGCCATAAACATACTGTTAACTTTCAGTTGAGAACGTGTACATAACAAACCAAAGATATTCCACCTCCCCTGTTCTCATGTTCTAGCAGTCTGTGCGACGTATTCACTATCAGAGCGTCCGTGGGTGGACCCTGTGTTGCAATCAGAGGCCTACACAATCTCCTATGCACCACAATTTTGGCCTATCCCATGCGAGACAACCTGGACGCAGTACGTCGGCCCTAAACTCATTCCGGATGGCAGCATGGTACGTGGAAAAGGGCGGCCAAGCTCAAAGCGCATACGCAATGAAATGGATGAGACTAACCGGCCCCCGAGCAAATGTAGTCGCTGTCACCAGCAGGGTCACAACCGGACAACGTGTCCATCTAGATCGACATAGGACCTAAGTTTGTATTTGTTATTTGTTGTAGTAGTAGAAAGACAAATTATTTTGTATTAGATTTTCTAGAGTTTATAACATTTGTAACATTTGGATCGTTTCTAATTTCTACTTTGGATGTCGTTTGAAATTTCTGTCTTTTCCTTTAACTCATCCAACTTATGTTTGATTGTTAATCCAGTAATTGTGTTGGTATTTGGTGTATAACGTTTTCAATGAACATATATCATGGACGGAGAAGATCGGACGCCCGAACCCGTTGGCCCTTCGGCGCTGACACTACAGGACACACATAGGAGCGTTGCCATATGGGACCAGACGGTAATATTTCATCCGTCCGTTCTTGTACTTATGCATGTTAAATTGATACACTATCTGATATTAATTTCGTTCGTACGATTTTTTATCAGGTTGATCTAGCGAAGCAGCTGGTTTGCAGGCATTATACTACCAGGTTTATGGTGGAATGGGTTGTCGATCCACACGTTATTGCGTACGTCAAGTTGGTTGGCTTGGGTGGTTTTCATCAAATGGCGTTCAGGGAGATCGATCAAGCGCTTGTCACTGCGCTCGCGGAGAGGTGGAGACAGGAGATGCACTCCTTCCACCTACCTGTTGGGGAGGCGACTGTTACGTTGTGGGACGTCGCGATACTCACGCGCTTTCCTATACATGGGACTGTTGTGACAGGACATGCGTTAGTCGATCCCATTGGTTTGGTAGCTCGAGTTCTCGGGGTTCAGCCAGGTCCCGACGAGATCAGGGGGTCCGGGTTGAGGACTGGCTGGATACGCGAGACTTTTCGTGAGCTGTCTCCGGGCGATGATGACGCCACGGTTCAGAGATACGCTTGGGCGTACTTGTTCTTTTTCATCTCGGACGTGTTGTTCGGCAACAAGAGCGAGAGCCATCTGCAGCTCATTTACCTACAGCTGTTAGACCACGACTGGGATCATATCCGTGGCTACAGCTGGGGTAGTGCCTGTTTGGCGACGTTGTATCGCCAGCTGTATAGAGCATCCCACCGCGGTTCTAGCGAGATCAAAGGTCCCTTGATTGTGCTTCAGGTAACTCACCTAATTACCAACAACCTATTTCGAAAGCCACTTACCTAGTTTAAACTAAACCTAGTTTTGTATTTTTGTGTTACAGTTCTGGGCTTGGGAGCATATCCATGTAGGTAGACCATGTAGGCCTGCTAGACATCGTCGGGGGGAGCAGGACCAGGACGACCAATACCAAGCGTACGATGCTCCACCGCTCCCTACACCTGATGAGGCGTACGGTTGCAGGTTTGTTACAGTTGTCATTACTTTAGACTTCATATGGTTTTATTGTGCTAGTTGACAAACTGAAACATTTTTCGGTATTAGGTGGGTGGTCCCCAGACTGACACTTGCGTATGCGGCGAGGGGTCTTCCGTACTACCGAGACGCCCTAGACCGAATCACTGAGGATCAGGTGGTAACTTAAAAGGAATTTGTAAACAGTAATTTAATATGATTCTTGTAAGCGCACTAACCTATTTACGATATTACTTTTGATGTGTTTTTGCAGGTGACATGGGATCCGTATGTAGCTGACTTGGTTGATGCCATGCCTGCACATCTGCTGGATCATCAGGTAGAGTGGCATGCTTAGACCCCCGTCATCTGTTTCGAGGTTGTGGAGAGTCACCTCCCCGACCGAGTCATGCGACAGTTTGGACCACGCCAGCCCGTCCCCCGGCAGTGTGACACTAGTATCCGCCTGCACGACATTGACCGTCGGGGACATGGGGAGACAGACTGGTCAGTGGAGCATAGGATTTACATTGACCTATGGCAGCGACGGTTGGAGTTCATCGTTGAAGGTGATCCGATGCAGGGCGTTATGGATCCTCACGATCCGTACATGGTCTGGTACAGGCGGATTACACGGCATTTCATCAACCCCAGCTACACACCACCTTCCACACATTACCATCCAGCATATGACGTCATTAACGGATATGTGAGTTTCTTTTATTCTACTTATTTTCATCAATTTTTTAATTTCTATATCATACAATTGACTGATCGATGATTACTGCAGGTGGCGGATATGGTGGCGATGGTTGATGCACTGTCAATCGTCCTTGCAGACGGACCCACCAGATCCCAGGTCGAGCGGGTACGAGATATGGGCGTGGCTACCTTGCAGAGATATGGTCACGGCTATCTCGTCCACCAGCGGGACGACCATGATGGCCACTCCGTCCATTCACAGTTCGAGCTCGGCCAGAGTAGCTGTGGAGGTGATCCTACGTCACCTAGAGACGCAGAGGATTACATCATCCACAGTTCTGCGCCCACCCCTACCCAGGAGGGCCCATCGTCCAACCAACAGACTCCCCCACCGCCCCGAGACCCATTCACCACCATTACACATTACAGGCGGCGTCGTGTCAGACGGAGGGACGACAGACAGGATAGAGAACAGTTATCCCGAAAAAATGAGTCGGGATAGTATTAGCTGATTTATTTGTTGTAGCCGGATTTTGTAGAATGTTGTATATAACACTTACATTATTAATATAATAAATGTTTTTTGAATGAATTTGTGTGTGGTTTGAAGTTTAATTTCCTTATTTGTCCAAATCGGACTTATGTCAGTCAAAATAGATCCTTCTAGGTCGATATATATCAAACACAAAACATTTGGCTCCATACTGAGAAACGGGGTAGAAGCGATGGCCGGTCATGGTTAATGTGGTGGTTCATGGTGGTTATAGTGTTGTTGGGGGTGGTTTGAGTGGTTTGAAGTGGCTAAGGGTGGGCAAAAGCGGTGGTTGGTGGTGGTCGATGGTGGGGAGGTTGTCAGGGTTCGTGAATGGCGGTGGGGATGGTGGTTGAGGTTGGGGTTGGTGGTGGGGATGGTGTTGGAGGGTGGTGGCTGAATGAGTGTTGGAGGCTGAAGTTGATGTGAGGAGTCTGTTGGTTGCTGTGTGTTGCAGCAAGTAGAAAAAACGCTGTCTCGGACAGCGTTTTATATGCAAAAAAAATTGCACATAAAACGATGTCCCAGGCAGCGTTTTATGTTAAAGAAATAAACACTGCCTCAGCCAGCGTTTTATGTGTTTTTGATTTTTTATTTTTATTTTTTAAAAATCAGAATTTACGAAATTAAAAAATAAAGGTCTACAGGTAAAAACGCTGTCCGAGACAACGTTTTATCCCTGAAGCTTAGTTTGGTAAATAGTTTTTCCACGCAACCATTTTGCAAAATATTTTCCAAATATGGCTTACTGAGGAAAAAAAATCCAGAATAAAGGATCTCTTTGTGTTCTTAATTAACCGAAAACTAATTTTATCCTAACATAATATATTTAAACAAATAAATATCCTAATAACCTAATAAACCCTTAAAGCCTGAAAATAGGAAAAACCTAGAAAAGTTGTAAAAAAAACCTCCATTAATGTACAAGATTTGCAAGAAAATCACAAATTTCATTACAAACAATTGAATATTCCAATAACTTTCAAAAAAAATAGCTCCCACATCACATTTTTCTTGATTAGTCTTATGCTAATAAGTACTCGACCTTAAAATTCAGCGATGCAATGGAGAATACAACTCTATGTCCAACAAATGTGGTTAACATTGATAGTGTGATTCATGAGCCATGTGAAACTTATAAGCTAAAGGGTCTATTAGCCTAATTGGACGGGAGTTATCAATTATATCCAATGTGATATTTTCAAAAGCTTTATGATAGAGAGAATTACAACGCTATATACTTTATATGTATTTAAACTCACAAGACTAAAGTGTAACAACAGTTGTACGTGAGAATAATAACGAAAACAAATTATTCCAAGCATAAAACAATATACAAAATAAAAGAATATATTCTGCTAGAATTAAGCAAAGTAAAATCAAAAGATAGACTAATGAATGCAACTTAACCGTGTATATTGCTTGTGGAATAAAATCTATCTAAGAGTATCCTTAATAGCATCATATAAAGAAATGTATTTCTTGAATTATTTGAAGCCTTCAATAGTACTTGCTCAACTTGGGAGTTGGAACACTATATATGTAGTATACATGAACACTATATATGTAGTATACATGCCAATATGCCATGCCATTTATATTCAATTCGTTCAAATCGGTACACAAAAGAATCCAACGAAATTCGCTAGTGATATGGGTAAAAATAGATCCATACGAAGAAGTTTTTAGTTGTGAAACAGATAGATCTGATAAAAAAGTACAATAACATTGAAGTATAAGAATGAACTAGAAGAATTGTGATTGAATATCTTATGAGATGGGTACAAGTTGATTTATCTTACAGGAATGTGTACACCAAAAATTTACTTCATCTATCTGTATCAGAAAAATAAATCAAACTTGTGTACATTGAATCGGGCTATGTAATCTTCAGCTGTATAAATTTTCTAAGTCCTATGATGATTCCTTGAGTATATTAGTCTATGCTGGTATAATATTATGACAGGAAGAATTACAAGGATATGGACAATCGATCAGCTTTGTTTCGTTTCGTTCAAAATACCAGTCGCCAACAGCCTCTGCAATGGTCTGCAGGATATACAAAGTATTATTACTAGTTGAGCTTAAAGGACGATGAAATATATACAAACTCAAACATGCAAAATCATACTCTAATAAGCAGCAGTGTTAGTAAATATAGCGTGAATGCATGATCCTTAAATACTCTATGACAAAAGGGGAGTAGATTCACATAGCATGATCCACAATCTCAACAAATAGCACTTCTGATGTAGTTAAACAATGTACTAACAATCAGAATTCATGTGTTAGAAATAAACCATGAAGAAAAGACTGTGCACGTACCTTATTGTGCACTCTAGGGGAGTCAACAGCGAACCAAGTTTCCTGTTGTTCACTTTGGCAATGTGCAAAGCATGAATTTATAAACATTCCTCCACTAGTTGAATGTGTATAGAAAGAGTATGAAGCCTCGAGCATTTCCTGTCGAAAATCTGAAACACAGGTTCCGAAAATTTAGGTCCATGATTTGACTGATTTTTGCATCATAACCTAAAGATAGCACTTTGATTTTATAGTTTTATACCTTGTAGTTTCTGAATTTGACTGTCAGTGCAAGTTGTTACATTATACTTGCAATACTTCCATTCTTTTCTTTGATCAGCCGAAGATGGTACCAAGATGTTATGGAACTGCCAAAGTAAATTAAAACCATTAGTACATGAGTTTAATAAATCTAAGAAATGCAGGAGCTAAAAGAAATAGAAAATAACAAATACCTGCCACATATCGTATGCAGTGTTTAAGATAAAAAAGGGAGTCTTAATGTAGCTTAGGACATGTTGTGGAAAGAAGCACTGAAACAAATTAGAGAAACATGTCAGTCCAGAACCTTATAATGTGCTCAAAAGCAAATTATTAGGTGAATACAACAAGCAGTTTGCATTATCATACTAGCTTAGGATCAATTAGAGAACTGGTGCAATTTTTGTCGAGATTCTCTTCTACTCCCTGCAATGTAACAACATCATGGTATAAGGATCTAATCGTATCATGCATGGCTACATCTTTTCTGCAAGAACAATGACAAAGGTCAAAATTTGGAAAACATAGGGTACAGAAAAACAATAAGCAAAACTTTGTAGGACTCGAGCAGAGGAGAGGACTTGCATGTCCAAGAAAAAACCGGCATCACTCAGACATTTGACAGTAGTATTTCTTGGTAGAAACCTGGATAAGTTGTCACAGTGCAGGAACACTGCTAAACCCCCTGCAGAGCAACCAGAAAGCAAAGCCTGCAGAGTACGAACAGATGTCAAATGCCTATGATTTTCGCAAGGTGTTAAGAAGCTTTTTACATTTGATTTCATGATATTATCATCAAAACCTACCTTCTCTGCATGTGCCAACCCTTTTGGAAGAAGATCAAGAATCATTGCCTGCCAAATTTTTTGCCCTCTAAAGTAAAGCACTGAGGTCTGTCCAATGGTAACATACAAAATCAGAGAAATGGAGCAGATAATTATTTACTGTAATTCTGAAACCCACACAAGACTGGTCCTAAAAACAGATCAGACCAAGCTATTAAGTGAAGTATGTATACCCCATTGTCAAACTTGGAATCGCCAGCAAAGGAAGCTCCATCACAGTATCTTAGCTTGACGCGGTTCCAATTGTAGAAGTCTGTTGTCAATATTATATGAAGCAAATTTTGAATCAATAGCGCGAAATTAAACAAAGTTATTTTAAGATTAAATCACTTTTACATCCTATATGCTCTAGGTTATTTTTTCACATAGAACATGTCTATTAGTTACTATGCTGGCTAAACAAGAACCTGGCCTATGCACATTATAAATCATTGGAATGGATTATGATCATGATTATATTGCACAAATAAAATTTGAAGACTGAATTACAGCAGGCAATTTGCAAGGGGCTTCGCATAGCTATGATGACGAAATTATTATTTTTTTTAATATATTATAGCAACTTCAGAGGAAGGCATACATAACTAGCTCAGTAAATATTGCTAAGATAGGTTTTTTTTGAAGTTATTACAATATAAGGATAATTTAATACTTGCAATTTGCGTACATAAGACAGAACAAACAAGGTTAGTATACAAGAAAAGGTCCCATTGTCTGATACTTCATCCTAGAGATTCTCAAAAAAACCATACAAATTTATCTACTAGACACTCATGAACTAAACTGACTCTTCTAGCTTGGCCGGTGATTATTTACTTAAAATACTATTTTTAAGCATACATGAATGCAAAAGTAAGCTACAATAAAAAGAAAAAAGATGTGAAGAATTGTTATATGTGATGAGTGGTTAAACCAACATGGTGTATGAATCGAGAGTCTATTACAAAGGCGTCTTTTAAGAGTATCAGACATATATATGTGTAAATTCGAAATATGATGTCTTCCCTTGCATAATTGGGGAAATTTTGGAGAGAAAAAGTGTGTAACATACATGGCTTGGGTTTGTACTTCAATGGTATATGTAAGTGTTTAATCACTAGAATTTGGAAATGTGGATACACCAAAACACAAATTTTAAATGTGGAAAAAGCTTTTTAAAAAAAGCTGTAAAGTGTTAAAATAAAAGGCCAATTATGTAGATAACGAATAACTTTAGTGTAAGGAAATTCAAGTTGGGTGACATTTTAACTACTAAAACAAAGAGAGGTGGAAAACGATGTACTAGTAGGTCCAAATTATCAAAATAACTTGCAAGTAAAAGTCAATAATGTAATCTGAACCTTTGATTTTGATAAAAAAAAAAAAAAAAAAACATGATCTTTATGAAATTTTGTATATACAGCTTGATTCATGCAATTTTGGACCTTATTATACTCACTGACCCACATTTTGGAAGGGTAAAAGCAACAAAAAAAATTCAGTACAGAGTTTCTGTTTTTATTACTGCTTTCTTCTTTAAACCAACCTTTGAAGGCTTTTGTATTTGTCTATTCAGTTCTACCTTGTTCTGATCAGGTTGAAGTTTGAATGATTCCAAACCTATACCACTAGTAAGTTAAAGCTTGTTTGGGTGGAAATTTTGGGAAATTTTGGCAGTATTTCACTATTTTAAGAATGGAATTCTGTAAACTTTATTTGATTAAAAAGCCACAGATTTGATTCCTGTACTTGATACCTGCTAAAGGCAATCTAAACTAGATCTAATTTAACATATACAATTATCAGTTGCAATTGTTCTGAATTTCTAAGTGAATCTCCAATAATGGTCGAGCAAGACAACTACTTGACTCGCAAGATCAAAATTTCCTACGATCTTCTCCAATGATGAGTTACAGTATTTGTAACTTGAATGACTCAACATATCAATCGATACAACAATTTATGTTTTTCTTCCATAAAAAGATTCAAACAAGATAGCTTGTTATGAATCGATATTAGTAAATACGAGCTACACACTTCAGTAGTCAAGCAAGTTTAGTAAAATTAAATTTCAACTTCATTTAGAAAATCGCCTTAAAATAAACTTCTTATGGGTAGAGAGATACGGTCAATGTGTTAGGTAAACATAAACAGCTATTACGCTGGGAGGATTATTTATAAAAACCATTCAAATCTAACTCCTCTTTTTCTGAATTCTGACATTACAATTATAATAGAAAAGGCTAAAATTAGCAAAGGGACAAATGATATAACGTGGTGAACAGAACATAGACATGGCACAAACTATAACACACACAAAGTCACACTGAATTTCTGGCCTAAATCAACATACAACTATAATACAAGTCATAATAAGATTTTGGACATAAATCATGGGCAATGCTATAGTTCAATGTTTAGAACAGCTTAAAGCAATCAAAGTAATTTAGTTAAATCATGTACTATAACAGTGATTAATGTCACCTTTTGCACATGCTGTTTGTTATAATTAGACAAATTTCCAGTCTGTCCTGTCTAGTTAGTTTGTATCAACATGGCCATCCCACTTTGTCGTCTCGTGTATTGTTTGCTTGCACAAGTACTTCTTACTCGATCTAGTTTCATTCCTAGCTAGCTTCCTTCGTTCTAAAGATTCATAGAGTATGAGTAGAGATGGCCAAAGGGGTAAGTCGGGTTTGGTTGGGTGGACCGCACTAGGCTTAGTGACCCCGTTAATTAATGGTTAGAGCGGAATGGAGGGCTAGGAGTTTGATCCATCATGACCCACGCGCCTAGGTGGACTAGATAGTGCACCAACTAGTCCAAGCTAGGTTGTGTGCTTGTGTTGAGCTAGGCCAGCCGTGTCAAAATTATCCCAATAGCCTATAGCACCTCTAAAAATTTTATAGTACTTCGTTAATTAATGCCAGGGCCTAGGAGATTGTTTTTCTACGGTTTGTTTTAGAATGATCAATAAAATATTACTAGTATTCAGTGGCGGATCTTGGACCAAAAAGTATAGAGAGCCAAGGTTTAAACCTTAAATCTCTAGTTAAAAGTTTAGCTTAAGTAACTTGACCTTTGTGAACACAACTTTTTATATTCATAATTTAAACAATATTTTTTTATTTATTTCATATATATTTAAAAATTTACTGAGATCATCAAACCCCTATATACCTCAATGAAGATCATCCCCTGCTATAGCATCAATTTGTTAAATTTCAATATTTCATCATGATTTTGTGGACAAGTTTGGTAGTACTGATGAGATCATAATTAAAGTTGACCCATGAGAGAAACATTAACCGAAAGTGCCTAACAGAAATTTAGCATATCTTAAAAACCAAGAAAGTAATAAAAATAAAGAAATAGATAAGAACCTACCTGGGTTGAGGGATTCATTGTTGCTTAGGATCCCAGAAAAGACTTCCACCTTAGTCATGTAGTGTGTGGATCCACGACGAGTTTTAGCCCTCTCCATGCATGATTCAACATCATTGCACCACCCACCACCCTACCAAAACCATCATCATTTACATCATCATATGTATTTAGCTAGTGATCTCCATTTTCAATCATCATATGTACGTACGTACAAAGTTATGCATGGTTTCTTATCATTTATCGAGTTTGTCACACAGTACTTGTATAACACAACGTTTCAAACAATTAATAATTAATTAAATTAATTGACATTCATAATCAAAATCTCAAACTTAGTGATAATTAATTGTCAATCAAGTTCATGAAGGTCCATTTATGGACAAGGACATAAAGGACTAAAACGACCATATGAAATCTTATCAACGTGCAGGGTAGCATCAATATCTTATATCACGAATGTAACTTTGTACGTCTTTCATGTAGTAAATTCAATTATTATTGGAATTATATAATCTCTAACCTCAAATAGATCTCTAGGTAACTCCATATCATTACAATTGAAAGTGAATTTGTTCACAGATAATTATTATAATAATCTTTATTGGCTCTTGATTGGTTCATTTTGAATAGTTACACTTACTTTTATTGACCATTAGACGTAGACAACCTCATTTTTCAACTTGAAAATTAAATCCACTAGTCCTTTATTACCAATTGACCACAAAGGACTGCAATTATTCCATCAGCAGCCATAACTTTGGATCAATGACGGCGGGTCCACAATATTCGGTATGTAGTGCAATTAATACACGCAAAACAACCTATTCATTCACTAGATAAATACAAATTATACAATTATATGATTAATATCCAACAAAATAAGATTAATAATTTAATTATATGTTGCTGACTTACTGGATCGTACCAAAACTCAAGACTTCTCATTTTAGCTACCTTGCATTATTCATAAATCTTATCCAAATTACATTATTTGATCGTATATATCTCTGTGATATTGTATGTGAAAGTGTCTAAGCATTGCTCTTCTTCAAAGGGTGGGGCATGCATGGCCAATTGGCCTTAACGTGCAAGTAGGTCCATCTAAGGTCTATTGAGCATTGACCTTGAGTGTGAGTGAGTGCAACTAGAGGAAGAATCCCCATATGAAACAATCAATAACTACTCGAGTTATTTAAGTTTACACATTACTTATACAAACTAAATTATTTTCTGATCGACTTTATAGATTTATGACAATCTCATAAATACTTCTAACTTAGTGGATTAGCCGTAAAAGTAAGATAACAATAGAGTTGATGTTTTCATTGACATATATGGAGTAATACAAACGTTGATATGGTAGAGTAAGATACACAATTTCATCTAATTAGGATGACATTGCCTTTTGCCAACGCGAATACACAAACATGACACCTTGTTAACATTGCAAGTAATTAAAATTCTCCGGTAGTTAAAGTACTCCGTGTTTGGAGTACATTATATAGGGCTATAGTTAGAATTTAGAAGTTCATCAAAATGTGCAAATTATGTTAGCAAACTTTATTAGCAATTCTAAAGCCGCGACCTTCGGAAATGATGGAAACAAGTGGGCGTGCAACGAATGGTTTAACTACTCAATGTTCTTTTTGACATTTGTTTTACATTTTGTTTAACTTTGTTTTCACATAAAAGCCAGGAGAATTAATTCTTTTGAGGGCTTTGCAGATTACCCCAAAAAACTGCAATAAAGTTGCAACAACAATCAAAGAAGTGACTTTGACAGTAGAGAAAGCAAAGAATCTCTACATTCTAGTGCTAATTTACTGGATCAACCTATACAATACCAAATGAATAATCAAATAATTAACCTTTCGTAATCACCAGTTTTAGTATTCAATTTTTTAAAACTAGTACGGAGTATCAAGTTAATGCTCTACGTGCTACGTGTGTATATATTTAATCTTCGGAAATTTACTTTTGACTACTTTGACTTAAAGTTTTTTTTTTTTTTTGACTTAAAGGTTAATTGTTAGGCATATTGCACAATGCCGTATGCCCGTATTAGTAAAATCACTTTTTAATAAATGTATATGAATACAATAATTTATTATTGTTTTCTAATTATTCATATAATCCTATGTATTGCTAAAATCTCTAAAACGTAGTTAACGGAAATTTCTACCATTATTATAGACTTTATAGTAGAATTAAAATGAATTACCTCAAATTGCAAAAGCCAGTTGCGTGCGCCAGAACCGAATCCTTTGCTAAAATGATATCCGGGTAAACTCCCATCCAAGCAATCTTCAACCACATAATTAAATCAAACTTATATAAACTTAGTTAAATAAATAATAAGGGTAAAAATGTAATTCAAATTTTGTTTGAAAATAACGACTTACATGCTCCAAGAGCTTTAGCAGTAGAGTTTTTCACCATTGTCATTCCCACCACAAGTCGACGTGGTAATTGCGAGTTAACACACCACGGTACGCATGTTAGCAGGAGCAATACAGCTACAACTAACCGCAACGCCACCATTATTCGTTTCGACGTTAAGAAAAACAAATTTATAATGTGTTATGAGAAGAGAGAAAGCTAAGCCCGGGGCTGAGACGGAGCGTAATAAAATCAAGTTCCGCCAAAATAATAATACTTTTGGTAATGGGTTTGGAATACCACCTCCTCCGCCCCCGATATAGGAGGATAGGCAACAGTGTTGTTAAGGAGGGAAAGGAAAGATGAGGGGAAATGGGAGGGAAATGGTGGTGTGCTGGTTTTTATAGGGAGAGTGAAGAAAGAGATAGAGAAAAAGATGGGGCCCAATTTCGTATGGTGCGAAAATGATTGATGGTCAGGGATCGAGCCTCTAACTTTTCACTTTTTTACATTTTGTGTCGTCTCCTGTGATGCACGGACACGCCACATAATAGGGGTGTCCGAGTCGACTCGCGTGTCCGACACCGACACGGGTGGGACACGGTACGATACGTCTCGGACACACCAAAATCCGTGTCCAATTTTTTTTTTTTAAAAACGATGCATGGACACGGACCGTGTCACCCCTAGACACGGCCCGTTTGGTAGTGGACACGCTAATTTTGCATTTTCCTCAAACCCTACTGCTCAATTTCTCATGTCCTCCTGCCTATCTCAAATTCAATCCTCTCTGCTTCTTTCTCTCGTCACTCAAACACCAACAAGGCAACAACTGGAACTTCAGCCTCACCGCAACCTAGATTGTCTCCGACTGCCGTCACTCGTCACCGGCTGACCGCCGCTCGTCACCACTCACACCGGTCGCAGGTGTCATTCTCCGTCCTCTCTTTCTCGAATTTAACGGAAACCCCCTTTAATCTTTCTCGTCGCTCGTCGCCCTCGCTCGTCACCGCCGGTGCTCTCAGTTAATCCTCTCATTCTCGTTTTCATTTAAATTCATCCCTTAATTCTCGATTTTTCTTGTTAGAGTAGATTTTTTGGTGTTATTGAAGAGTTGAAAAAAATTTCAAAGTGTTGTGATGTATGATTGGAGGAAGACACAGAGAGATCGAGAAATGGGAGTTTAAGAGTGAGAAATGATAGATGAGAGGAGAGAGAAAGGAAGAAGAAATAGTGTTTACTTGAGTGTATTTGTGTACTTGTTTGTTTACTTGTTTAGATAGATGAGTACCGAATTTGTTTACTTGTTTTACGGTACTAAATAATTACACTGGTACGGACACTAAATAATTACTTGTTTTAAACAAAATGACTTATTTTGAGTTTAATTACTTAGTGTTTTATTGAATAGGTTGTCAAATTTTCGTTTTTTTTAATATATTATATGCCTAGTTATTCGCCGTACCCGTGTCCCCTATTTTAGGATTGCCGTTTTACCGTGTCCGTATCGTACCCGTGTCCGTGTCCGTGTCCGTATCGGTGCAACATAGGTCGTCTCTACTCTTGCTTTTCGTCAAACTTTTTTTTTCTTTAATTAAAATTTATCAAATATCTAGGGGTATTTAAGGTGTTGTTTGGTTGGTTAGATATTTTGTGGGCGTTCAAAATTTCATGAGTTTCATTTTCAAGTTCTAGTTTAGTTCACACAAAAAAATGAAAATGAAAGCAATGTAAATTTATGGGAATTTTGACTTCCCATAAAACATGAAATTTACTTACCTTACCCTCTCTATAAGTCAAAATTCTCATGGGAATTTACTTTTTCCATTCTTAACCAAACAAATCTGTTGAATTCCCATGATTTTGACAATGAAATTTATTTCCCACAAATTAAAATTTCATGGGAATTTGCACTTCCCTAATGAACCAAACAACACCTAAGTTACTTTATCTAATCCAAACATATACTCCAGTTTATAATACTAGTATTAAAAAATTTACTAATGAGGGTACTTATGATATTAACTGTTAAACTCGTGCGTTAACAAATTGGATAAAAGTATAACTATAACGTATAATAATATTTCATTATAAGATTTTTTTTTTTTCTAAATTTTAACCACGATCCTCCAAAACCTTAATCCTTGATTTTTATCTCTCGTCTTAGCCATTTCCTTAAAAAATAATGCGTAGTAAATAATTTTCTATAAATGCACTCCATTAATTTCCTTTACTATTGTATTCCGATATATTGTGCATTAACACAGGTAAATTCTAATCTAGTAAAATAAAACGAAATAGTTAAGGTGTTAATTGTTTGGTAGAAATAATTGAGTATCGAGAGTTTGATTGAATTTGAAGCTCAACAAACTATAAGAAAATATAGGGTAGTTTGGTTGGAGAATGGAGGTCTGCCTAAGTTGGTCCCGTGACTGCCGCTTACCTTTGAACTAGTACACTTTGAAATATTCTGATTTAGATTAGTTAAGAGTGCTTCAATATTTGTCTTCAAAAAAAAAAAAAAAGAAAAAAAAGAGTGCGCAGTACGCTAGACTTTAGCACAAATTATGGGTACTAGAGATTTTGACGCATGACTGTGGTTACGGGATTGAATAGGACAAGTCAATTCTAGTGAGGTTTATTCATGTTGTGCAACAAACGTATCGTTCACGGAGGCCAGTGTAAAACTTTTTAAACATGATTATTGAAATATAAGGGCATGTAATTAAGCACTAATACAATTAAAAAAAGGCTTAATTAGAAAATAACACCTGTTAAAAGACCTAATTTTGTTTTTAACACCTTAAGATTTCGAAGTTTAATTATAACACCTGTTAAAAAATAAAAATTTTGCTTTCACCACCTAAATTGGAACAACGTTAGAGATTCTGTTAGCTGGGCCCACAATAACGGCTATTTTTTCCAAACTGCTTTATATAGTTACGACATCCTTCACTAATGTAGAATTGTTGAGCTGATTACACAAAATTGCTTCACATTTTGCGAATTCTGACTAACAAATTGGCGAAATTGTTTGATTTTACCATCATTGTTTGGGGGACGTAGATATCAAATCAGGTAATTGCGTCAATAGCACTTTAGAAACCCTAATTTATCTTTCAAAAATAAGGCGTAAATTAATCTATATGTTGTTGACTTAAATGCATAATTCAGGTCGTATCTGGCAATAGTCATGTAATTCGTAAATAGTTATGGTTCATTGTGTGTTAATTGTGCTGTAATTTGCGAGAAAATGAAATTAGGGTTCATTGTAGAAATAATTTGGGGGTTTTGATTTGTAGGAGTGACTGTTTAATTCCCGTGGTTCAATTGTTTTTTTTTCATAGTACGAATGGTTTTGCTTATTATGGATGGCAAATTGGTGCAGGAAATGTCTTCTACAAGTTTCTCACCTTCAAAGGAGAAGAAGTGCAAATGTGGTGTTCCCTTTGCAAAGCTTACCAGTTGGACAAGGGAGAACCCTGGTCGTAAATTCAGAACATGCAAGTTCTACGATCCTGTAACTGAGAGCAGAGGTTGTAAAGCATTTGAATGGGTGGATGAACAAGATGGGACAGCCTGGCAAACAGAGGTGATCAACAATTTGTTGCTAGATAAGAAACTGTTGAAGGGGGAAATTAGTGATTACAAGAGGGAAGTTGATGATCTTGGTGGACAGTTGAGGTGCTTGCTGAATGAAGTGGACAGGCTGAAAATGAAATGCAAGGCTTTAAACTCTGACAGGAACAAGATGAACAGAGAGATGCATGGAAGGAATGCTAGATCAGATCACTCTGTTCTTAGTCTTGCTGTTGGGATTAGTTTGGTCATATTAGTGATCCTTCTTATTAGGGGGTTTGTAATGCATTAAGTATAACTTGTAATGCTAGTAATTGCATGAAACAGTAATATGGTAATGTAATGATTTATAAGTGGCAGTGAACCACTATTGCAAGCAAACTAATGTACACAATTATGAAAGCAAAGAATTAAGTAAGTACCTAAGTAGTTGATATTGCATTTAAGTTGTTGATCAAATTTGTTGTTGCAGTGCCTAACAAAATTGGCTGGTAAAGCCTTACAGCAAAGTATAAATTTAACAAAACAGGATCCTTGTCCTATACCCAAAAGTAAAGCTACAAATATTGCAACTGATTGTTCAGAAAATACAACCAACAACTAAAGTTCAGAAAAACAATTCAAACATCATTGTGTCAGCCCTCCTTGTCTGGAAGTCAGCAGCTTAGCCCTCCTTGTCTGCACTCCAGTAGCATTGGGTTCAGGTTGGCTGGAAGAGGGGGTGGTGTGATGCTTGGCTTGTGGCTGCCCTTGTTGACTGTGTGAACCTTTCCTCTTACTCAATGGTTCACAGCCAGGTTGCTCTTGGGGAAAAGTCCTATTCCCAATGCTGTTTGGACCAGCCCCTATTGCACTCTGTTTATTAAACACAAATACCAATGAACAAGTATCAACATACAATTTCATCACAAATTTTAAAAGAAAAGTTACAAATCCAACAGCATACCTTCTTAGCAGCTTTGATCTCCCTCTTCTTCCTTTGCTCAACTACCCAAGGTACATTTAAAGGAGGCCTTCCTGCAGTTCTCTGCTCAGTTGGTTCAGGTTCATGTGGGCCCTTGCAAGTCTTGGGATAGTGGCCAAATCCACCACAAATCCTACACTGACTTTTCCTCCTCTTTCTTCCCTGCTCCCCTCCTGTTGCAGATGTTCCCTCCCCAGGTTCCAGCTTCCTCTTCTTCTGTTTAGGTCTTCCAGGCTGCTGTTTGAATACTGGTGGATGAGGCTCTCTCATGTTCACTCTCTCCCAATGCTTTGGGCCTGGCATAGGTTGAATTGCAGGCTCATATGCTGCTCTGTAAGTGTCCATAGTGTAATAGGGGTGGACAAACTGCTCAGCATCAACCCTCTGATCCATTATGCATGCAAATGCATGAATACATGGGATGCCTGTTAATTGCCAGTGATTGCAAGAACAAGACCAATTTGGCAAGTCAACTAGAACCTGGTCATCATTCAGCTGCACTTCATAAGTGTCATCCCTGGCAGCTTCAATTATGCAATTCCTAGCCACATAGCTCATCCTCTGAAATAGCTTATGCACATATGGAGTGACGTTGGTTGTGATTTCCTTGGAGTCCTCCCACTTCTCATTATTTCTCCTCATCATGTACCTCCTCATCCATTCCATTTGGGTGAGGATAGGTTTGTCTCTTGCATCTCTGATAACAGAGTTGAAAGTCTCACACATGTTGTTTAGTAACATGTTGGACCTGCAACTGTCACTGAATGCATGTCTGCACCAGTGATGAGTGGGGATGTTCTCCAAATAATTGTAAGCATCCTCATCAAGCTCCCTAATCTGTTGCATGGCTATCTGAAACTCAACCTACAACCACAACAGGAACATTATCATGAAAGAATAACATACACAACTGTTGTTGCTCTTATTTTGCTTTTATACACAACAGGAACATTATTACATGAAGTAGGTACATGATCAGGAACAATATCATGCATTTACTTATTCAAAATAATTTAAGGTCACCTAGAGACTTACAAATGTTGTTGCTCTTGCAGCACTCCAAAAGAGCTCTTTGAAAACTGATCCAGTGAACTTCAACTTGAAATTTGCCCAAATGTGCCTAACACAGAACCTAGTCTCTGCATTAGGCACAACTTCAGACAGAGCTTCAACCAGTCCCTGTTTAACATCATCAACAATTACTTGTCACACTTCAAACAATAAAGAACAGGACAGAAAATAAGACTACAATAATCAAAACAATATTACCTTCTGCCTGTCTGACATGAAGGTGAAGCCTGCCCCATCTGCACTTCCAATGCATTGCATCAAGGATTCCAGAAACCAGTCCCAAGTCTCCCTGTTTTCAACCTCACAAGTTGCCCAAGCAATGGGGTAAATGCTGTTGTTCCCATCCTTGGAGACTGCAACTAAAATCTGGCCTGGATAACCTCCTTTCAAGTGGCAGCCATCCACCCCTATAATTGGCCTACAACCCTTCAAGAACCCATCCTTCAAAGGCCTTAAACAAATAAACATCCTCATAAACAAGGGAGGCTCAGGCTTTTCAATGCCATCAATCACAACATTACAACCAGACCCAGGGTTGTATTTCAGTACAGCCTTCCCATATATCCCATACCCTAGCATATTGCTCTCTTGCTCATTTTTGTTAATTCTTGGGCTCTTCCTAACTACAGCAGGCTTACCTGAACTTTTCTTCCCCTTTCTCTCAGCCTTTACTGGAGTGGACTGGGCCTGGATCTCATGTATGGGCCTTAATGTTTCATTAGCAGTCACAAATACTTCAACATACCCTTCCCCATTCACTGTCTCCAGCAGCCCCTTCACTTCCTCTTCATTTACTAACTCCCTTCTCCCTGTGTTAAAGGTCCTACCTCTTTCTTTATACCAAAGTCTGTAGTTAGGTGGGACATGGACATTAAAGTTCACAAACCCATGCACAGCAGCTACCCTCAAATAATGCAAATCTATCTTATCCACTACCACATCCCTCCTCCAATAACATAACCCACCACACCAACAAAGCAAATGCTTTGATTTTGACACTTGTTTAGTAACAAAAGCACCCCCTACTCTAAATACTATATCAATTAATCCATCTTCGTTGTCGGCCATTTTTCTACCTAATAAACAAATGCAAAGCAAATCAATAAAACCCAACATAGCTAACCCCATTACACAGTCAACCGCAATACTTTAATCAACAAAATCAAACATATTTAAACCAACACAATGACAAACCAGTCAACAGTCAATAAAATCAATGATTTAAACTAAATAATTCACACATTACACTAAATCATACTTAATTTAATCAAATTCAACTTTAATTACAAATTAACCCATTTTACTGTTCTTAGGGTTCCTAATTTTTTTCCCCAAATTACCCTACTACACCCACACAAATGGCATAATGCAGCACACAGTACTTGTTGAAAACTACCTTAAAGGGTTCGAAAGGTACCTGTATTGGAATCTTACTCCTGTTGCTGTCAGAATCCACGAAAAAGTCCAAGCTTTTTGGATGTTGGAAATGGCTGACGGAATCTCGCTGACTTGTTTCGCTCCAATATTGACACCTCCTCTTCCAACTCAATTTCTCAATCACAATAATCAGTATAGGGTTTGAATGTTCGCAGTAATTTTGGTTGTTCAAGATTTGCAGACGAAATTCAATGAAGCAAAATTAGTTGGGTGGTAATAAATGACAGAGAAGATAAATTCGAATTGAAGGGGATGGAATTTGGAGGGTAAACGACTATGTGGGCCCCACCAAAAAATTCCGTCACAGTTTCTGTTATCTGGTGGTGAAAGCAAAATTTTTATTTTTTAACAGGTGTTATAATTAAACTTCGAAATCTTAAGGTGTTAAAAACAAAATTAGGTCTTTTAACAGGTGTTATTTTCTAATTAAGCCTTAAAAAAAACCACAATTAATCAGAACCATTAAAACCAGAACCCATAATCACCACCACCACCGAACCTACCGTAAACCACCACCACCACAAAAAGAACCCAGCCACCACCACGAACCTAGCCACGCCACCCCCACGAAACCAAACCCAAACCAGACCCACCCAGCCACCACCACGAACCAGACCCACGCCACCCCCAAGAAACCAAACCCACGACTACCCCTGGAACCAGACGAACTCAGTCACCACCACGAAACCACCCACGCCACCCCCACGAAATTAAACCCAAACCAGACCCACCCAGTGACCACCACGAACCAGACCCACGCCACCCCCAACAAACCAAACCCACGACTACCCCTGGAACCAGATGAACCCAGCCACCACCACGAAACCACCCACGCCACCCCTACGAAACCAAACCTAAACCAGACCCACCAAGCCACCACCACGAACCAGACCCACGCTACCCCCACGAAACCAAACCCACGACTACCCATGGAACCAGACCCACCCACCACGAAGACCCATCTCCACGAACAAGACGAACCCAAACCCACGAAAACCCACAGATCTGGAAGAAGATGAAGAAATTTGATGATGAAGGGAGATTTACCCAGAAGAAATTTGATGATGAAGAGGAAGAAAATGAGAGATGATGAGAGATGAAGATAGGAAGAAGAAGAAGATCCAAGAAGATGAGAGATGATGATGAAATGAGAGAGGAGAGAGATGGTGGGGAGATGAAATTAGGGATTGATCTGATTTTTTGGGGGGAAAAAGCTTAGATAATTAAGTTAGATTAGGGTTATAATAATTTGTAGTTATGTGTAATATTATGTGCTAATAATTTTTAAGTAAGGGTATTTTGATCATTTTGATAGAAAAATGTTACTAAAATAGGAAAGAAATAAGTTTGTTGCAAATAATAGTTAACACCCGTTTTTGATAAATGTTGCAGATAATCGTTAACGGAGGTAGTAGATGATTGTTGATTTAATATTTTAGAAAATCTTAGTCATATTGATTTTAGAGATGGTTCGATTGAGGTTCGATCTATTTGGATTTTAGTCATAATTTTGTTATTAAATTTTCAAATTCAAATCATGTTTGAGATGTGTGGTTCAAATTGGGTAATTGAGTACTTTTGTATAAGTCTTTTGTTGTGATGTTCATAGGAAATTTAACAAAATTTATAAGAAGGCTTGGTATGTGCATGAGGTGTTTGTAGAGAGGAGCATCCAGTAATCAGGGTGATTGTAAATCAGCCACCGTTTTTTTTTTTAATAAAAACAATTGTTGAAATGACAAATTTATCCCACTTATTAAATAATGACAAAGCTATGATATCCCTCATTTTTTAGCTGAAATGAACATATTACCCCTTGATTCATAATTTACATCAGACTTATGAATTTGATTTTTGAAGATTTTAGTGATGGTGGAACAAGGATGGAGAAATAATGAGAATATTGTAAAGTACAATGATTAATGGATTATTTTGGAAATAATACTAAAATCTTTCCATCTACTTGTTAATGGCGTTATAGAAGCTTGAAATTGTAATATTCAATTCTCATCCCCCCTCCCCCCCCCCCCCTTTCCCAATTCCCACCTATTCCTAATTCTTCCAATCCCCCTTAATAATTTAGTCATGTTAACAAATAACAACTAAATATAATCATTGGATAAGTCAGGTTATAGTCAAAGACAATTTCACATTTTATTGGGCCAAAGCAGATTGAGTTAATACAGATTGTAACTCGTGGGTTGATAATAAGCTGACTAATAAATAAATAAGGAAAAAAAAAATAGAAATGAGAGATTAAATATAAGATTTGAATCTACGATCTTAAATTTAAACTATAAAGTATTAGCCACTAAACTATTACCATATTACATGGTATTTAATAAAGATTTTTATCATAAAAATAATACAATAAATCGGGACATTGTCTGGACCTAAATACTAGTGAGTATTGAAAAGATGACATATTGACAATTTGACATGGTATATGTTGAAAGTCTTAAATAAGATTGTGCCAATCACTGTAAAATCCATATTAACACATTCATCAATTCATGTATTAACCCCCACTATACATGGCCCAACTAAATGCACCAAAAAAAATAAAATACATGGCCCAACTAAACCCAAACCTAAATACACAATATTAATCTGTTGGGCTTATTAAATGTCATAATGTCATCCTAAATTCTTTCGGAAATTCTGCAATTCCTCAAACTCTGAGGACAAAATCTAAAAATATTAGAAGATAGAGAGACCAATCTGCAAAATCAACTCCATATCAAATTCTGACTACTTTTGGTCAATCGAATTAAAACCATCTCCCGAGAATAGTAAGTGCTTTTTCACTCACTCCTCAATCTCCCTTCAAGTCCAAGGTTAGTCCAATTTCCAACCCTCTATTCCATATCTTCATCCATTCAAATCAATTATTTTTATGTTTAAACTTGAAGATCCCATCTCCTTTTGATCTGGGTATTTGTTCTTGTTTTATTTTGATTAAATTGAATATTAATTGTTTTATTTATTTATTTAATTTTTTTTTTTGAATTGCAATCTTTGTTTAATTGGTTCATAATTTACTTTCTGCTGATCAAAATAGAGAGTTATTGATGATTTTTTTTGGGTATGTTGCAATTAATGTTTGTAATTGTCATAGTTTCTTTTAATTTGTGGGGTTTTGATATTTCTTGTTGCAAAGTGTCATTTGATGATTTATCCTGTTGTAATGGTTGATTTAGTAGAATTTAAAAGCTCACAGGATTAAGATGAAACTGGGGTTAGTGAAGTGTTGAGCATTTTCTTTTTTTTTTTTTTTACTCGTACTATTTTGACTGAAAATTTGTTGCAATGGGAGAAAAGGTACAAATTACTTAATTAAACCATGATAGTAGATGATTACCACAAAAAAGGAATTTTAATGATCGTTGATGGATACCAAGACGAATGGCCATAGGTTTGCCTATTTGCTATGCCATAGTTTCATTGATATTTTGGGCCATGTTCAAATTCAATTAAAGTATGGGGTTTATGACTTTAAGTTTAAAGAATGTTTGTGGAGTAGTTGCTTTAATTGTTATATATTGTGTCTTGTTAGTACTCTTGGTTGCTTTTTCCAAAAGTAGAGATCATGGAATCGTATATGGTAAACGGTGTATCTAGTTTTTTTTTTGTGTTTGGGCAATGCTAGTGTCATTGCTTATACGGCCAAACTCTTATCTCCTCGTGGAGTCGAGGTGCTTGTTGGTTGGAATTGATCTGATATTTTCCTTTTTTGACTCATCTCAGGTTGTGTAATTTCTCTGGTCCAGTTTACACCGGAGAAAGGTTGCAGCTTTGGCAGTAGAGTATTTTTTACTAATCTTAGGTGTGCAAAGTTAAGTTTTTATAGATTTAATCGAAGGGTTTTGCATGTGGAGTAAGCTATGGAATCTTTGTGGAAGCTTCTTTATCTGTTAGAACCTGCTCCGATTACTCTCATTATAACCGCAGTTGCTGTGACATTTGGTTCTGCTTTTCGAGCTCTAAATTATGGTAAAGAGATGGAGCGTAATCGTGATTTGTCTGAAACATCAATTACCTTGGACAGGTCTCAAGCCCTTATGATCCCAATTATGAGCTCTATCAGTTTGATCATGATGTTTTACTTGTTTTCTTCCGTGTCACAAATCTTGACCGGATTTACAGCTATTGCCTCTGCTTCCTCACTTTTTTTTTGCCTATCACCGTATGTCAATCGTGTTAAGTTGCAACTTGGGTTAGCTGACCCATATGTGTCACGGTGTTGTTCCAAGTCAATTACCAGGACCCAAGGGCTCCTTTTGGTTGTGTGTGTGTGCACAGTGGCAGCTTGGCTTGTTTCTGGTCACTGGATATTGAACAACTTGTTAGGCATTTCCATCTGTGTTGCTTTTGTAAGTCACGTGCGACTTCCAAACATTAAAGTCTGTGCGATGCTTCTTGCATGTTTATTTATGTACGACATCTTTTGGGTTTTCTACTCAGAAAGATTCTTTGGTGCCAATGTAATGGTCTCCGTTGCAACTCAGCAGGCATCTAATCCCGTACATACTGTAGCAAATAGTTTGAGTCTTCCAGGTTTGCAGTTGATTACTAAAAAATTGGAGCTACCGGTGAAGATTGTGTTCCCTAGGAATCTTCTAGGTGGAGTCACTCCAGGAGAACATGCAGCAGACTTCATGATGCTTGGACTAGGAGACATGGTATAGCATTCTCTCAACTTAAACTTAACTTGCTAGTTCAGTGATTGAGTGGTTGACATGCAAATATGCAATTTTCACTCTTGATTCTTGTGATAATTAATAGTTATTGATACTTGAAATGCTCAGATTTGGAATTTTGAAAAAATTGAACATTTATTATTTGCTGGTTTTAGTCCTTGATCATGCATACACACTTCCTTTTATTGCTCCAAGCATTTTTTCTCATGGCTGGAGTGAGCTACCCTATGTTGTGCAAGGTCATCACAATATCATTAAGCAAGGTTGTCTGTTGATAGCTATCTCATTCAAACTTTAGCATGCATCTGTTTTTCGTGTATTGAGGTGTCAGCAACTTTGTGTTCTTTTCAAGTCTTCTCTATTGCTAGTAATCCTTTGCCACATGAAAAAAAAAAGTTCATTTACAGTCCTTTACCAATGAATCCTCTGTCGAATAAGTCAGACGCACTTGGCACATATTATACCAGAGATGCATCTGATGCCGATAATTTACATTGTTGGCGTTGTGTCCACTGACTACCAAGCTAAACAGCTATTTATACAGGGCTGGTTTGATCCTGCCCAGCTATAAATGCAACAAGATGCTTCTGCTTAATAAAGTAATTAGAGATATGTCATAGGTAACATTGTTAGGAAAACTGGATGTCTAAATTCTCTGATTGTCTTCGTCATTAGCAAAGCCCTAGTCTTCTCTTTTGCAACTGAATTCTCTTCCATGTCTTTTCAAGGAATTGTGCATTTTAATCTATTTTTGAATCTTGTTCAGGCAATCCCTGCCATGCTTTTAGCATTAGTTTTCTGCTTCGATCACAGAAAGAGAGCAGTCAACCCGATAGATTTTGCATCCTCTAGAGGGCACAAGTATATATGGTACGCCACTTCTGGATATGCTGTCGGCCTTGTGACGGCTTTGGCTGCTGGAATTTTGTCTCATTCACCGCAGCCAGCACTTTTGTACCTGGTAAGGACACTTCCATACAGGTGGAATATATGAAATTGGTATTAAGGCATGGTTCTATAATTGCATCATTGATATGCTTGATGTGATTGTACTTATTAGAAAGAGATGTTTATCTGGCTGGTAACTTCTTATTATAGGTTTATTGATTCATGTTTCTGATTATGAGATGTTTCATTTAGCTTAATTAATACCAATTAATTATGGAGTTTCTATACGTTACAATATTACATTACATTACTGTATCAAAAATATTCTATTTGCTGATGTGGTATGCTTAAGGGTGATATTTGTATGAGTTTTATGGTTGCGAACTTGCACATTGTAGTTTCTCTGTAGGAATTAGAAAATCTGTTAAGTAGTTTGGCATCATTTTGTGCTAGTTAGTTGAGATTCATTCATTAGAAATTAAAACAATCATCTTCTCCCGTAGAGAGAATGCTGTGGGCGTGGGGAGAGGTTCCTCAACCTTATAATGTCAAAATGAGGCTGTGATGGATTGAAATATTTCTTGACATTATGCTGTGAAAGTACGAAACTGCTCTTTTGTATATTTCCTCTTCACATAGGAATATATACAGATGTTGGTAGTTACCAGAACTCAGTGAATTCACTTTTGAACTCTTCGAAGACTCAAGAGTGTAGTAGTAGTGGTTGTCGTGGAGACAAAAGATTGCTGCCGCTAAGTTGAAAACTTTCGAACTTTAGGGTATATACTTCAAGGCAACTTATACGATGTATGTACCTTTTGATTATCACTTTATTCTGATTTGAAATTCTCTTCTGTGTTGATGCAGGTCCCTTCAACATTAGGTCCAATAATTGTAATCTCTTGGCTAAGGAACGAGCTGCTAGAGCTATGGGAAGGTTCATCGCCAACTTTGAATGAAAAAGCTCATTCAGTTGAAGTATGATTACTTGAATCCATTTCAGAGTATATACGATTCAGATTAAGGGCTCGGTAAATGTAAAGATACTTTGGGCGCGAGTAACGCTTCTGTTTTAGTTTCTTAGAAACACCACCTGTTGTATGGAGAAAAGATTGATTTCTCTCTCATCAATGAAATTGTTGAATTAATTCTTCATTAAAGTACACTACTATCCTTGTATTCACGGTCTCGGAAATTCTGCATAATGCTTGATTAAACACTTATAGTTATGACATTGACTCTTTGATGGATTCAAGTTTGAGTTCCTAATCACAATCATACTTAAGTTTTAATTACAGTGAAGCTTATTCAGATAATACCAAACATAATCTACGAGCGCACATCCTCCAAATCACACATTCAATAAAGTGGAAGAGCGGATTGTATCGTTAACATAATCTACGAGCCCATAGCATTGACATTTGTTGCACTTAATGGTTTTGCTTCTATTGCCCTTCCTTTCTTCATCTTCATCCCTTCTTCTCTTTCTACAAGGCTCGCCAACTCCTCTTTTCATGGCAGGAGGTTCAATTTTAGGCATGTCAAAGTCTGGCCATTGATCACTGTCAGGGATGGAATTGATTCCACCAGCATATGCAGCTTTGTACCTTCTCACAGAGTACCATTCATGTACAAACTGTTTTGGATCAAGCCTTGCATGCAAGATGGCTCTCATGCCATGCCTGCAAGGAATTCCAGAAATATGACATACCCCACATAGGCACCTTTTTTCAGCAAAACTGACAGAGAGCACTAATTTTCCATCAGTGACCTCATACCCATCAGCACTAGGGTATGCCTTGCAACACCTGGACTCTTGAGTTATCACTTTAAGTCTGGCCTCGATGCTTGGACATATATCATCATCTATCCAGTTTGCAGAAGCTTGCTTCCTAGTGCACATCATGACTATTGTTGTTCTCCTAATTCCTAACATTAATCACCACAAATGTTAATGCTACATTCACCAATATAGACACATTACATGTACATAACAAAGAATATGTTACCTTCTAACAAAGTCGGAACAGGTCTTGCTCTGTCCATACCTAATGTGGCATTAAAGCTTTCCACAAAGTTGCTTTTGTTTACATCACATTTGATAGCCTCATTGAATTTGTGCTTGGTCCATGTTGATTGGTCCCTAACTTTAGACAACCATATCAAAGTAGCTGGATTGACCTTCTGCAGCTGTTCCATGGTTTCTTGAATGTGAACTCAGAATAGGCCCCACAAGCCCTCCAAAATAGGCTAAACATCAAAGGACTAATGAATGGTTTCTTCCAATTCTTTACCAGGTGCTTGCAACAATATCTTCTTCCAGCCTTTGGCCACAACTCAGTTAATGCAGCATCAATACCCTACACAAAAAAAGATAGATGTAAGACAAAGAAATGCTTAAGGAAGTTAACAAAGAAAATCGAGGCTAAGTTTCATACCTTCTGTCTGTCTGAGATAATGCACCACTCATCACCTCTCCCACTGTCTTTGAGCAAGTTCTTCAAATGCCACACAAAGCACTTCCAATTATCTATGTCCTCAACCGATACAATTGCCCAAGCAAAGGGGAATAGCTCATTGTTTGCATCCAGTGCTACTGCAGATAACAGGACACCACCATAATTCCTCTTTAAGTGAGCCCTATTCACACCTGTGAAGCTCCTACAACCAGCTAGCAACCCATCTATACTGAATGATATGAAGATACTTAGGAACCGCAGAGGCCTGTCAATACGATCTTGAGGTGTCCAAGCACAGAATGCAAAAGAACCTGGGTTTGTTGATCTCACCATTTCACAATAGTCAGGAAGCTGGGCATATGAGATGTCATGACCCCCATTAATATCCCTTTGAGCCTTTGACCTCATCATGTATAGAGTACTTGTAGACATTTGTACTCCATATCTTTGCCAGAGTAACTGGTTCAATGATTTGGCAGGGATATCATTGTTGGCTCTTATATCCTCAAGCAACACTCTTGCAGCCTACTTGGTAGACACCATAGGATTCTTCACCTCTAAACCAGAACAAGTGTGCTCCATGTTCTGAATGGACTTGATTGCCCATGTGACACCATCAGGAAGCCTAGATGCATGCAACCTCCACTCACAGTTAATTGCAGAACATTTAACTATCCACCTGAAATTAGATGCCTTGAGCACAACTACTGAAAACCCATTTTGTATGCAGTAATCCCTCACAACATCTCTCAAATACTGTTTATCTGTGAATAATTGCTATGGTTTGATGACATTTTTTCCAAACTCCTCATCATTGTACAACTCTCCATTTTTGCACAATTTTGCAAAGTAATCTTCAGCTTCATTGTCATTCTCCCACACAAGGCCTTCCCAAGGATCAAAGTTGTCAACAACTGGTCCTACATCATCTTCATCTTCATTTTCCCGATCTACATTATCATCTTCCTGATCTTCAACTTCTTCATAATCAAATTCACCACCATCCCCTTCATCTCTTGGAATAGCTTCATCTTCACCCAAACTCACAGTAAGTTGGTTTGATGGCTCAGTTGCTTCATCAAAACTTGTTCTGATAATCAATCCCCTCCTCTTATCTGTAGTCCTTGGAATTTTTTTTACCAAATGTGTTAGATGTCTTGGAAGATTTAGAAGATGTCACTATCTCCCCAGAGGGCCCTGAAGCTTGCCTTGTGATAACATTCATCTCAGACAGAGGTGGTGCAATCACATCTATCCTAGATTTTGTCTGACCCTCACTTTGGAACCTTTTTCTTGGACTTCTTCTAAGTACCTGGACTATAGGTGGTAACCCTAATTATTTCCTCAATTCTTCTTCTCTCTTCTCATACCTCTCCCTAGCCAACCTCTCAACCTCAGTCTCTACTGCATTCTTCAGTTGCTTCCTATACCATGCCTTCAAGTCTCTTTCAGGTCCACTATGCCATATCCTACCTCCTGTGAGCTTGATAGGTGCTTCTTTCCCCTTAGCTCTACCCCTACTTCTCCCTCTAAGTCCCCCCCTCCCTCTTCCTCTCCCCCTACTCATGTATTCTTGTTCTTTTTCCATTTCCCTCATCAAATTAGCCAAGGTATCATCACTAGGTACTGCATTATATATTTCAACTATAGGGTTTTCAACAGGTTCACCATCACTTTTATCATCAGCTTTTTTATCTCTCTCATTAACAAGTTCGGGAATAGGGTTTGGAACTGAGTCTACAGGTTCTCTATCATTGGATGAAGTGTTTCTCCTAGGGGTTAGTTTCTTAGGTCTCTCAACATCTATCACAGGTTGACTTGAACTACCCTCTAGCTTCCTTAGACTTCACTTAGGGATTCCCTTTTCAGGATCACATTCTGTCTAACCCAACTGCCCCACACTTTGTTTCAACTCAGCAGCTATCCTACTTGCCCTCAAAGTCTTAGCAGCCTTCAGTAACTCATTTGGTGAATTAGCCTCACCCACCTATATATATAAGGTCTTTTCCATTTAAGTTAGTAAACATTTTCATCAAGTCTTGATCATTAATCAAGTCCACATGTTTCATTTTGTGACCATAAGCAAAACTAGCATGTTTTGGAATTGGTTTCTTACTCTCAACAACCTTATCCCAATACTTTATCACTAGGTCAACTAGATTGACTGTGTCAATATCCTCAATTACCACATCAACCTCAACACCCTGATAATGAAACCTCAACACCACTGCATCACTCATTCTAACACCATACCGTATTCCAAGCACAAACACAGACAAGCAAGTCCATAACACAAAATCAGTAAACAAGACAACAAAAAATTTCATTTTAGGGCATAATACTTCAATACAACCACATAAAACATACAACAAAACGATCATGCCAAAACAGAGTACATAACATGCACAATTCAAACGTTATATAAAAATTAGGGTTTTGGATGCATACCTGAACTTCTTTTTGGCAAGATGATGCAGAAAGATTCGATCTTTCACCAGGTACCCCCGATTCTTATCCCAAACTTGAATACCCTAGTCGCACTTTTTGAAATCAAAAAAGTTTGAATCACCCTTTACTTCAACCCAGAAGAAAAATGACTATCACCGTCTTTTTTGATGGTATTATAGAGTTCGCATTCAATGCTCTGCGTTTTTTTTGTGTCTCGATGAATCTTTTGATGGGAAAGCTACCAGAAGGAAGAAGATTAAAAGTAATGAAGAGGGAGAAAGAAAGAGAGAGAGATATATGGAGCGAATTAAAATCGGATGGTTGGGTGAAATAAAAAAGGGGGCAGTTATGTCATTTCGCTATTTTGGTTAACCATGATTAAATTTTATGTTAAAACACCATCATTAATGTCATCATTAGGGGAAAAAAGATAAGTAGTTTTATTTTGTATAATCCAAAAAAAGGGGGTTACCGTTGGTGCGTAGCAGAAGCTGGGGGTCAGCGTTGAGAATATCCCTAAAAAAATGTATTAGTGAGTTTGGATGGAGACTATGAGATAAGAAAAATATAATATTAAAATGTAGTTTTTTGCCAAAAAAAAATGAGTAACACTTATTAAAACACGGCCGCGTGTGATAAATGTAATACTTAATAAAAAACAAAGAGAATAGGTAATATGGAAAATTGTCACGCGTGAGTAAAGTTAGGATGGGTACTTGTGAACACATACAAAAAGTGTATGAAAATATATCCAAAGATAACTTAAAATCATATCAATTGCAACACAAGAGAACATAAGTTTAAAAAATTATTAAAAATAAATCTTCTTCACTACAGTATAACTCATTTTATACAAGTTACAACTTACAAGGTCGAATGTGTATTTGTGTTACCGAAAACAAGTGCCAAAAACACCCACATATTGTACTTGACTACTTGTATATTAATTCTTGTGGCTAGGCAGAATGGTGAAATGCATAACACAACTACAACGCTCGGGTGTGTACAAAAATATTCAATTTAAAGGAAAAGGGGAGCTAATTACAAGTTACAAGCTCGATTCTTGCTGCTGGCACGGCGGAATGGTGAAAGCATAACACAACTAGAAATTTATTATGAAGAGCTGAATAACAAAGATAATATAACCAATTAAAATACTCCATAACTAAATATTTGTGTCCATATAAGTAGCATTATCAATAATCAATTCAATATAAAGTACACAGCCTAATCCAAGCCGTCATAACCTCCAGCCCCCACCAAAACCGCCAT